CTGCCCTTCTGTGGAAACATTTTTCCTAAGGGTTTTGGCATCCGTAGTGCGTTCTAGTCATCGAGAGTTACTCGGCCCAGTGGACTGTTCTCTCGCACAATTTGGTGTCGGGCCTTACTCCGGGAGCTCGAGGCAAAGAACTTTGGGTGGCTGCTATGACCACGGCCGCGACTCTTTACCTACAGTGGTGGCACCTACCGATTGCCAGTCGATAGGGGGAAATTTGTTATCTACCCGAATTCGGATTGCCGGGACCATTGGCCCTCTGCAACTAGCTCCCGGGGCGGTCTCCCGTCCTCTAAGAGGGCGCGCGGTACCACAATCCCAAGAGATTTCCCCTCAAGTGACTCCCGGATTTTGGCTTTTCTAGGCTCGAGTTGAGCTCTTGAGGTGTGGTAGACTCCGCGATGAATGTTTGGGCGTTTACAGGCCGCACCTCACCACGTATTGTTATGGTCCGTGTTGTTATATTTTGTTTGGCCGGTTGGCCTGTAGCCCTGAGGGCTCTACACTAATTACAGTGGGAAGTCTCTCATTTCAACTGCCGCAGGGCCAAACCAAACGTCTAAATGAAGATACGTAATATCTGGACTTCTCTGCGAAAGCCGGCCGGCAGGAGCACGTGTCGTTTCGGACGCAATTCTCAAGCTAATGTCGCGGGAGCGTTCCCCACTCTCTCTCCCCTACTCTGTCGAACCTAAGTCGGTTCCTGTCGCGCGGCCGTCTCTCTCTCGCACGTCAGCACGCCTTCGGTTTGGATCTGCACGAGCTTATCCTTCCTCTCGCTAGTTCGCGTAGCAAATTAAGTATTCTCTCTCTCTCTCTTACCTCGTACTCTATTGTCACCTCTAGGCCACCTCTAGGCTTTGTACATAAAATTACATAAATTAATATAAATATAAGTATATAAGTATATATATATATATATATATATATATATATATATATATATATATATATATATATATATATATATATATATATATATATATATATATATATATATATATATATATATATATAAGAGTGGTTGTTTGAGAGAGAGAGACATAACGAGTGGTTTATCACACGATATAGTATTTTAGTTGTAGTCTCTCTATTTCTTCATATCTCTTCCATCCCCAGATTTTTGCTCCATACATCATCACGCTTTTCACCAGTGCGTCGAACAGGTTCATCCTTAAATCCAAATTTTCTCTAAATAGCTTTTCTCCTAGTCCCCATAGTCTCCCGAGTCCCATATTTATTTTCCCTTCTACCTTCTATATCTGCTTTTTATTTCCGTTATTTCTGCTTATCACATATCCCAAGTAGATGTACTCTTTAACCGTTTCTATCTTCTCACCTTCCCATTCGAATTCTTCTTCCTTCCCCCTTACTCCTCCTCTCCTGCATTTCATCATCTTTGATTTTCCTACATTTAACTCTAATCCCCTTTCTTCCAGGTATCTTTTTAATTTTTTCAGCACTGCTTTCATTCCACTTTCGCTCTTTGCCATCATCACTATATCATCTGCATATTTCAATGTCCATATTTTCTTCCTTCCTATCACTACCCCTCCTTCCTGTACCTGCTTGATCTTCACTTCCAGGTCAGCAAAGGCAAGATTAAATAGCGTGGTGCTCAAAGGGCACCCTTGCCTTACGCCTTTGTAAGTCTCAAACTCCCCAATTATTTCTCCTCCAACTTTTACCTTACTCCCTGTTTTCTTGTATATTTCTTCTATTATTTTCCTAATTTTTCTATTTATCCCTTTCTCTTTCATTGTTTCCCATATTTTCTTCCTCTTTATCTTGTCAAAAGCGGCTTTCATGTCGGCAAAGAATACAAACAGTTTTCCTCCTTTTTCCCTTATTTCCTTCCCTATTATTGTTTTTAATATATATATATATTGCGTCCATTGTTCCTCTTTTCTTCCTAAATCCCATCTGCGTATCGCTTAGCGTTTCTTTAGCTTCTAATTCTCTTTCCAGCTTTTTCCTCAGTATTTCCGCATATATTTTATATCCCGTGTCCATCAGCGTTATTCCTCTATAGTTTCCTACTTCTTCTTTCCTCGCTTTCTTATATATTGGTACTATTATTCCCTTCCTCCATTCTTCCGGATATCCTTCTCCGTTCCATATTCCGTTTAAGCATTTTGTCATATCTTTTAACCAGCCTTCCGTGCCATCCATCCACACTTCGTTTCCTATACCATCTTCTCCTGTCGCTTCTTTCTTTTTCATTTTTCTTATTACCTCTTTTACTTCTCTTACTTTAATGTCTTCACCTTTCTCAAACACTTTTCCTCTTTAACTTTCTTACCAAAACTCGTACTCACAGCCAAGACACGTCCACACTCTTCCACCGGCCTTCCTTCTCCTTTAAGCCTTCCTTCCTCCTCCGGTTTGAGAAATAAAGGTTTCCATTAAAAAAGTAAGGTTAACCTTGCAATGACTTTGGGGGGGAGGTCATTCGGACCCCATAAATATCCCATCATCTGAACATATCATTTCACGTAGAATTCAAACCTGCGATTAAAAATGAACGCTTCCATTTAAAAAGTAAGATTGACCTCGAAACGACTGGGGGTGAGGTGGGGGTCAATTGGACCCCACATATTTTATATGATTTGAACGTAGAATTTAATGTAGAATCCGAATCCGTGATAAACAGTAACGATTTCTATTTAAAGAAACCATTGACCTTGGAATGACCTTGACCCATCATCTTCAAGCTTAAATTTAAGGTCACCAAAATATGACCCTCTTGGTATTAAGCAACTTTTGTCTGAACTATTTTTCTGTACTATGCATAGAATTTGAAATATGGAGATCCATAGATTAAAATGACTCACCTTGTGTAACATTTAACATAATTGGATAGATGATAAATTAATAAGAAAATTGAAAATAATTATCTAGGATGACTTCGAAATACACTTTTGAAGCAGTTGATCGTTTCCTCTAAGATTTGAACCGGTATAGGTAGAATGAAGCAAAATTAAGAAAAATGGAAACTTTACAGTATGATATCTCAGCAAAGAAAAAGATGTCTGTGCAAATTCAACGCCATCTGAAAGTTTAAGACTTGTACTTTAAACTGCTCTGTGTAGTTTTTTAGGTATACTAAAACTTGAAAGGTCACATAACCTTTGCTGTCGGGACATGTGATCATTCATCGCGAATAGGTATTTTCGGATTTGTCTATTTCTTTCAGATCATCGTTTAGTTGTTGTTTTTATTTTTATTTATCAATTTTTTAATATATTATGTGATCGTTTCAGTACTCATGATCTTAGGCCCAACTTGATGATGACGCCTGGAAAGGTGTAAACGTTGGAAAGGGATCTGTCTGTTGGAAGATCGGTTGTCTCGACAGGGGGAGAGCGATAATGGTGGAATTGTCTCTGCTAGTCGATTTCACATTTTTATGATGCACACTGTCATTTGATTTCGTTTTGTGTGAGGTACTGTACCGTTATGGAAGAAATGGATGAAGATGTGGAGAGTGAATGCGCACTAATTTCGCACTCTTCCTAAGTACAAGGGAGAGAGAGAGATGAAGACTGAGAGAGAAATAAGAGAAATGAAGAGAAAAGAGGAAACGCAAAGTACCAGAGGTCAGTCGACGAGGCGTTACGCCATAATCTTGGATCCGCCGAACAACTAAAAGTTTTGCCCACTTGCGAGCGTACGTTCGAATCGCGAAAAGTAACAACAGTAGTGCCAGCGGTCTGGGAGGCCGCTCGAAAATGAGGAGCAAACTCGGTCCATGGTAAGCGCGATAACTCTAGCGGGAGTGGGTATTAACAAGCCAATATGATATTATACCACTTCTAGCTTAGTGTGCACGCCGTCACCTGTCAGCAACAAATCATCGATCTGCAGAAACCACCAGACGGTTAGTATATCTCTCTCCTTTGTACGTGTTTGGGTGATTATCCGAATGTGTAAGAAAACGAGCAGTCGTGATGACTAACATGTAATTTTCGGACTCTAGCAATACGTGATTGATACGAGTCGTTGCAACGGAGCAGTATTACGCGTTGCCAGACACGCTAGCTATTCGCCTTGTTGAAGCACCGCCATTTTTGCACTTACGCGTCGAACTGTGTATTGGGCTGAAATCATTAGCCATTCGGCCAACAGTAAATTGCGAACTATGTGATTGTGCATCTCTGTTATCGGGGTTTGAGTTACGTCATTGTCAGGGTAATAGGTACGTGCGTGCACGCGTGTGTATATATGTGTATTCTAACTAATATCGGTTACAAGTGTTTAGTTAATTGACAATGTCTTAATCCAAGATTTCATAAAATGCATTTCACCGTATAAGTAGCGGCAAAGAGCACTTCGATCTCGCAGATAATCTTAAGTTTGAAAACTCTTCATCGAAAAAAGTATTTTGCTAGTAAGTGCAATAATCATCAATCAAGGATTTATTTCAAAGAGCAATAGAACCGCTTTATAATGAATTGTTGAAAGTCAGAAAATTCGGTTTTACATTAAACTTACCAATCTTAAAGTTAGAGAATCCATTGCATATAATAAAAAATTATGGAAAATAGCAAAAAATTATGAATACGTTTAGAAATTATTCCATAAAATTTACAAAATTGAACTGAGTACTTGAAATATATTTTATTCTATGAAATATTTTTCTGAAATATTTTTTCGTAAATTCAAGATGTCTTCTTCAAAATATCACACTAAAAAAAGTACGTAAGAGTATGATTTGGTGAATTTGAATAAAATTTGCATCCATTTTTTATTATCTTAAAAATTCCATTGCGTAATAAAGGTTTTATGTTTCTTCTACATTACAAAAAAGAGAAAAAGTGGCGTATTTTTTATCAAATTCCTTCAGAAGTTGGTTAGATCGATCTGGAATTACTTCAATGACATTATGTTCAACAAGTCTTATAATTGATAAGTCGAATAAATTATTAATATATTTCAAACGTAAAAATTAATACTTTATTAACAATTAATATTTTAGTTGGACACTTTATATATATATATATATATGTATATATAAATGTACATTATTGCAATGAAATGTTTCTGCAGTCTTTCATTTACTAGTATTACAATTTAATAATGTATGAATGCTGAATTTTGTCATATCATGATTAATGGAATATAAGTTTTGAAATGGTTTGAATTCGATTTTTGATTATATATCATATTTACATTTTCATAATAAGTATGGTTTCATTTACTGTATAGTTATCTGAAATAATTTGCAAGAAATTAATTATTGTTCTAGGTTACTTCACTGACTATGGAGATCAGAATGAAGTATAAATATACAATGTCAATTTCCTTAGAAACAATGTGAATATTCTTCACTTTCTCTATTTTTTCCGAAAGAATGTTGAGTTTCATTAACTTTTTTCGAGCTTTTTAAATTGTTATCTATAATGGAATTATTTTGTTGCTCTTCGCTTGAACATGTAAAAAATGAAAAAGATTGCGTAACAGCTGGTAGAATCTCGCACCGGTGCAAAATATTACCATCACTTTGTTCATTATCAATATCATTACTTGATGTTTCAGTTCGATTTCGGTACTTGGCCTGTCTTATTGCAGTCAATCTTCCTCTAGCTTCTTCTAATTCTTTTTCGATTCGAAGAACTTCCGATCTTGCGTTTATTTCTTGTGCGATGCCACCTACAATACGCCGATTTAATATAAGAGATTTTTCTTCTTCGTTTTGTATAGCTTGTTGAGCAGCACGAACTAAATTATCAGTTGCTCTTTTAACCGCATTTCCAGCAGCTTGTAATCGTTTAGTGTTTTCACTTTCTGGATCAGCTTTTACTTTACACGCTACAAGAAGCTGAGCTGTACTACTGGCCACTTGTTTCGCACTTGAAATTAACTTTTCTTCACTGCTAAAACTTTGAATCAAAGCATTAGCTGATTCAACCAAGCTATGAGTAGCAGCTGCAACCATTCTTGCCGCAGAAATTAATCCTTCGGACCATTGTCCATCATCGGAACTTGTTAGTAGGGTTTGCGAAACTTTACCAGCAGATATCAATTCTCGTTGCGCAGCGCTTGCTGCTTTTATCAAAGCTGACGTCGCAGCTGCTATTGATTTAGCAGCTTCTAAAATCATTTCATCAAAATTCATTTCTTCTTTAGTTTCCTAAAAAAAAAAAGAGATCATTAGTGATAGCCATTGATACACAAACGCACACACGCACACACGCGCGCGCGCGACATAAGATTGCTTGTAAGTAATAACACAATTTATAAAAATAAAATTATTCATTATGCGGTAAAACAATATAAAATAAAATAAATAATAGGGATTTATTATAATTTTGTATTACATGTAAATTGGTACCTATCAAATCATCCAATACATCGGGTCAGATTATGAATGTCATTGTCCAATGGTATAACGTTCAAATAACAATATCTGATATTTTTTACAATCAAAAAGAGGAGATTAACTTATTATTACCCAAATTAAATCTAGGCCTATGAAAAGTATTTTCAAATCGTAAATTTTTTTTGGTTAAAATAATACTACAATTCAGAATAAATAAATCAGACACTTTTATCTAATAAATCTATCTACTCTAATCACTACTTATACCTTCTTCAGATTTAGAATACTAAGCAAAACTATTTTGAGCGATTACCGTGAATAGCTCTTTATAATTTATTTATTGTCCTTTTAAGTTTCTATTTTGATTAATAAAAATGAAAGAGGAAAAGTATTTCATCTCAGACTAAGATTTAATTACTGAATAAAAATCAAACAGATATAATATTTTTACTTTTATTGTATAAAAGTAAACACAATAAGTATTTTTATTATATATATATATATAAATTTATTCAACTAAATGTTACATCTTATTTTTTTTTTTTTTACACAGCACATTTCATTTCTCTACTGTGTGACGCGCCTTGCCTCCCTTTGCCTGTGTTTTGTGTGATTATGTTGTATGTGTGTATGATTGAGTTTTAGTTCGTGTAAGTGTCTTTTGTATTTCCTTCTCATCTTCTTTTCCATTTGCCTTCCTTTTTTCGTCTTCTTCTCACTCTTTCATTCCGTCTTCTATCCCATCCTCTTTCTTTCTCTCTCCCTCCTATACTTACCTCCTCTCTTTCTGTATGTCCTCCCATTTATAATCATCCTTCTGTTTTCTACCACGATGTCCATTACTACTCCTACTTCCTGGCAAGCACTGAGGACCTTCTTTGCTGCCCTTACCATTTCGTCCCTCTCTTTTCTTTCTTCAAAGGACAGCCACTCATCTAAGCTCATTTTTCCTTCTCTATATATTTCTCTTTCCAGGTCCCATATCTTGTCTCTGTCTTCTCTGCTATTAAACTCAACTTTCAGCCTTTCTCCCTATTCCTTTACGTGATTCACTTTCACTTTATGAACATTTTCAAACCATTCTTCTATTTTCACACCTTCCCATTTTGGTCCCTTTTTCACTACCAGTATTTTTTTCCACTCGTCCCATTCTTCTCCTGGTGATTCGTCACTCTCACTTTCCATTTTCCTTTTTTTTCTTTTGTTTTTCTCTTTTTTTCTCTCTACTTCCTCTTCTGCTCCTTTCTCATCTCTTTCTTTTCTGCTTTCTTTTAGGTTTTCCTCAATTGTTCTTAGTCTTATTTCCTGGTTCCTAGCCTCTCTTTCCAACTCTTTTACCTTATTTTCCACATCACTTCTTTTTCTTCTTTCTATTTCCATCCATTCTTCCAGGTCTTCTTTCTCTACTCTTCTGTCTCTTTCTATCTTCGTTATTTTCCTTTCAATTTCATCCATTTTCGTTAATCTTTTCTTTCGCCTTCTTTACTCTATGAATTTTCTTTTATTTCTTTTTTATCTAGCCGGACTTCTCACCTGTCCGTATTAAGGCTTTTAAACCTTTTCTGCGATCTCCTCCGCTCCCTCTGCTTTCACTTATGCTTACTACAATTCTCTCTTACCAATTTCTTTCTTCTCTCTTTTCACTTTTCTTTTTCTTTCTCTTTTTCTTCTTCTTTTCTTCTTCTTTTCCACTTTAGTTCCCTCATCCATGCTATTTTATCTTTGCTCCCAACTATTATTTCTTCCCACTTTTCTCCTTCTTTTCTTGTCATTTCGCATTTTTCTACTATGTGTTTCCAATCTTCCTCTTCTTTTTGGCACATTCTACATTTCTTATTTTCTTCTTTTTCCCAGTATCTACTCCCTCTTGTCTCGTTCCATAACCTAAACCTCTCTCTTATTTGTAGGCCTCTTATTTTCCCTTCATTTTGTATTTCTTTTAGTCTACACTTCTTCATTTCTTCCTTTATCCCCTTCCACTCTCTTATATATCTTGATTCTTCCAACTTATCTTCCATTTCTTTTTCTTTTTTTTTCTTCAATTCTTCTCTTACTTCATCCCAGAACTCTTCTCTTTCATCGTCTCCTTCTTCTCTCTCTCTGTATTTCTTACTTTCCCCTAGTCTTTCTTCTCTCTCTCCTTTTTTTTCATTTCTTTCTTCTCTTTTCCTTTCGTTTCTCTTCATTTCTCTCCATGCTTCTTTCTTTATTGTTCCATCCCTCTCTTCTTTAATTTTATTTTCATATCTCATCGTTCTCTCCATTGCTTTTTCTTTTATTTCTTTTCTTCCTGTTTCCCATTTTATCAGATAACTCGGTGTGTTTCTGTCCAAACCCAGTACCCATTTTATATATTTCATTTGTAGTCTTTCTATTTCCTCGTATCTTTTCCACCCCCGTATTTCTGCTCCGTACATTATCACGCTTTTCACTAACGCGTCAAATAACATCATCCTTAGCTTCCAATTTTCTTTAAATAATCTTTTTCCCAACCCCCATACTTTTCCTAGTCCCATATTTATTTTACCTTCTGTTTTCTTTATATGTCTCTTATTCCCATTGTTTTTGTTTATTATGTATCCCAGATAGTTATATTCTTTTACCATTTCAATTTTCTTTCCTATCCACTCAAAACTTTCTTTCTTTCCTCTTCCTCCTCCTTTCTTACATTTCATCATTTTTGACTTTTCTACGTTTAATTCCAGCCCTCTTTCCTCTAAGAATATCCTTAGTTTTTTCAGCATCTCTTTCATCCCATTTTCATTTTTTGCCATCATTACTATATCATCCGCGTATCCTATCGTCCAAATTTTCTTTCTTCCTATTACCACTCCTCCTTCTTGAATTTTACTCATTTTCTCTTCTAACTCCGCAAAGGCAAGATTAAATAGCGTGGTGCTCAGCGGGCACCCTTGCCTTACTCCCTTTTCTGTGTCAAATTCCCCTATTATCTCTCCTCTAATTTTTATTCTGCATCCTGTTTCCTTGTATATTTCTTCTATGCTTCTTCTGATCCTTTTATCTATTTCTTTTTCCTTCATTATTTCCCATATCTTCTTTCTTCTTATCCTGTCAAACGCTGCTTTCATATCAGCGAAGAAGACAAACAATTTCCCACCTTTTCCCTTATTTCTTTTCCTATTGCCGTTTTTAGTGCCCACGTATATTGCATCTGTTGTTCCTCTTTTTAGTCTGAATCCCATTTGCGTATCGCTTAGTATTCCTTTTTCTTCTATCTCTCTATCTAGTCTTTTCCTTACTATTTCTGCATATATCTTATATCCTGTGTCCATCAGTGTTATACCCCTATAATTGCTTACTTCTTCTTTTTTTCCTCTCTTGTATACTGGTATTATTATTCCCTTTGTCCATTCCTTCGGGTATCCTTCTCCGTTCCATACTCTATTTAGACATTTTGTCAGATCATTTATTAGGCTTTCCGTCCCAGCCATCCACGCTTCATTTGCAATCCCATCTTCTCCTGTTGCTTTTTTCTTTTTCATTCTCTTTATCACCTCTACTACCTCTTTTACTTTTATTTCCCCTCTTTCTTCTTTTTCCCCTCTTTCCCATTCTTCTCTTTCTTCTATTTTATTGTAGTCCTTTTCTTTTTCTCCCAGCTGCTTCTTGAAGTGTTTTAGCCATTCCTCATTGCTTATTTTTTCGTCTATTTTTGCTCTTTTTTTCTTTCCTCCGCCCACTTTTTCCTAAAATTTCCTTCTCGTTCTATCTTTGCTTATTTCCTCCGCCACTTTCCTTCCTTCCTCTTCTTTTGCCTTTCTTATTTCCTCTCTGTTTTCCCTCTTTGCTTCCAGGTATCTGCTTCTATCCCCAATTCCTTTTCTTAGTTCTTTCAGAGCATTCATTACCTTGTCTCTTTTTACCTTGCATTCTTCTCTCCACCAGCTTTTTCTTGTTCCTTTTTTACTTCTTATTTTCTTTTTTGTTATAGCGTTCTGTACTCTAATTTTTATCTCTTCCCATTTTTCGTTCCTTCTACTGCTCCTATCCATCTGTGATACTCTTTTATTCCTTCTTCGCTCCAGTCTTCTCTTAACCTTTCTTTTTCTCTGTTTTCTTCTTCTTCAACCCTGTTTTCTAGCTCCACTTCTACTGGTAGGTGATCCGATTTGATTCTCTCTCCCATTTGCATTTTCTTCACTCTCTCTTCCCCTCCTATATTTCCTATTATGTAGTCAATCGTCGACATCCCTCTCGCTCCTATATATGTAATTTTTCCCTCTTCATCTCCCTCTTTTTTCCCATTCATAATCACTAATCCCGTCTCTCCTAGCCATTTCACCATCTCTTCCCCTTCTGCGTTTATCGTACCATCCTTTGTATTTATTTCTTCTGTCTGTCCTTCGCTATCTCATTCTCTTCCTTCGCCTCCTGTTCTAGCGTTAAAGTCTCCTCCTATTATTAATATTTTTCCTCTATTTTCCTCTATTTCTTCGGTTAGGTACTCATAATTTTCTTTTTTCTTATGCTGCATGTAGACTGATGCAACCGTGCATTTCTCTCTCTCTATCTCTATTTCCCCTACAATGACTTCTTCTGTCCTTTCTTTCTTCCATTTTACCTTTATTCTCCCTTGTCTTTCTCTAACTGCCATCAGTCCACCCCCTATCTCCCTACCCCTCTTTCCTTTCCTTCTCGAGTCCCTCCATTCAATGTTATACTCATGCAAATTTCTTCCTATTCCTATTTCTGCTTCTTCTCTTTTCACCCATGTTTCCATAAGTTCTACTATATCAAAATTTCTGATGTATTTCCAGTCTTCTTCTTCCAAGCTCTTTATTCCCACCACA